CCTACCAACAAAACTGAAAAATTTATCCTCGCTTTTTAGATCTCTACATGAAGGATCACTATCTATGTCAATCACATAATCGTCCAATCTAGCTAGCATGTATCATTCATGTTGTGAATGTTTGAATGACTCTGATTGTGGGGATTGAACAGCTGGAGACTGTTCAATTGGTTGATCACCAGCTGAATCATTAACATAAAAAGGAACAAGTGTGACTGACTTGTCTTCCTTTTGGTACCAAAGTGGCAACCCTGCTAATCAAAAGTGACATCCCTGCTAATAATCACTTTTTTTGTGATGAGATTATAAAGTTTGTACCCCTTTGTAACTACATTGTACCTAATAAAAATACACTTTTAAGCCATATCCTTAAGCTTTTTCTTGAGTGGATCAGGAACATGGGCATAGACAATACAACCAGATATTCTCAAATGCTGAATTTTAGGCTTCTGGCCAGTCTAAATTTTATAGGGAGTTTTTTCATTGAAACTTCTGATAGGAGACCTGTTCGAAACATAAAAAGTACAAGCAACAACTTCTACCCAAAAGCTTTTAGGCACATTTTTAGATTTCATCATGCATGTAACTCTATCTATAATAACTCTATTTTTTTCTCTCTATCATACCATTCTGTTGGAAATTATATCTGATTGTCAACTGATACTTAATACCATGATTTCTCAAAAAATTATCACAAACTACATATTCCTGACCTCTGTCAGTCCTTAAAACTTTAATTTTTCTCTCATTTTGCCTTTCAACATAATCCTTCAAATATTTAAACATATCATAGACATTCAATTTATTTTTCAAAATATACACTCAGATCTTTTTTGTTAAAATCATCAATAAAGTAATAAGATATCTACTCCTACCAATGGAAGGAACTTCAACTAAACACAAATCAGAGTGAATCAAACCAAAGGGTCTTTTTGTCTGTCAAACTTGTTTATCGGGAAAAAAGTCCCTATGTTTTTTTTTCAAAACACAAGTCTTACAAACTTGACTAGAAATATTAATATCAGGCAAACCAAAAACTAATTTTTTTGGGGCAAGAAAATTTAAGTTACAAAAATTTACATGCCCAAACCGCATATCTCATAACCAATTATCCCCAAAAATTTCAGAACTAAAACTAGGTAAATTTTGATAATTAATTTGCAAAAGTAACAAATGATTGGGTGTCATATTTATCTTTGTAATTAGTCTTTTGCGGCTGTCACTAATTATACAAACACTATTAAAAATTCTCATATCATATTATTTTTCTGACAATTGCTTCATACTCAATAAATTGTGGCTAAGATTGTGAATATAATAAATATTTGAAATAACATTCAAATACCCATCTTTTAACTTGATAGAAATCTTACATCTTTCTTTTGTGAGGATGGTTGAAGTATTCCCAAATTTAATGTTTGATTGAATAGATTCATCCAATATGGTGAACATCTCCCTATAACCACACATGATTATTGTAGCCTGAATTTAAATACCACTTGTTCATTTGAATATCATCAATTGCACTATTAACCAAAAATAAAGCTTTTAAATTATCATCATTACCCTCTACAATTTTAGCATGATAATTATTGTTATCAAGTCTCCTTAATTTGTCACAATCCTTGTTATAATACCCTAATTTTCCACAATAGTAACACTTTATCTTGGATTTATTGTGTTGTTCACCCTAATTATTACTTTTATATTTTTCTCTACAAGATCTATTTTGTCAAGTACCTTGGTTATTTGAATGTTGATATTTCTGATTTGATTGAGATTTATTGTGGGATTCATCCTTCTCTTTTCTTGAAACTCGTCTGAGTCTTTGCGGTTTCTTCTCCTGAAATTTCAATCTTTTCATTCAATCTTTTGTTCATGGGCTTGCAGGGAACCCATCAATTCATTATCTGTCAGGGAATTAAGTTCGTTTGACTTCGTGATAGATGTGACAATATATTTGAATCTCATTGATAAAGATCGAATAATTTTTTCCATAACTTAGACATCATTTATATCCTCGTCATTGGCTCTCATCTGATTGACAATAACCAACGTCCACGAGAAATAATCAAATATATTTTTTGATTTTTAACCTGAAGAAGCTCATACTGTCTGTGTAAGGTCTATAACCGAACTTTTTTCACCTTTTATTATCCAATATAACAATTGATCAAGACATCCCATGCCACCTTTGTCATCGGAACATAAGTAATCTTGTTACAAATTTACAAATCAATTGTTCATTAGATATATATCAATGATCTGTTATTTATCTTTCGATTACTTTCCAATTCATCTTTTTGGGCTTTTGTGCGAGTTGGTAAATCTCTGGGATTTGTGAACTGTTTGTCATGATATCTGAAAAATTCATATCCTTCAAAAACAACTCCATTTGTAACAATGTTAAATATTTAACCTCCCATCAAAATTTTCAATCGGTCATTGAACGAACTTGTTCATATTTGTCATTTCTAAATTTGGCTATGATCTCAGATATAGGATCGAAAAATACAAACACTCAAAATAATCTCTCACACAAAGATTTAATCAAAGAAAAAATTAAGGTAGAAAACAAAGCAAAAGATTGTCAAAACTTCACGTCAAAAAAATAAAAGAATTCTCCAAAACCATAAGTTACTATTATTTTACTCACACCTAAAGTTCACGGCTAACGGCTAAAAAGTTAAAAAACCAAAGCCAACAAGAAATCCTATACTAAACATAATTCTAATAAAATAATAACTCTAATGGGCCAGAATCTCATGTGGACTAAGAACTCCTAAACTAATTAAAAAACAAAATTATCTCAATAAAAGTTTGGGTCAAACTCCAATATACTTACTATGATTGGCTAAAATTGAACTTGAGTCAAGTAAAAAATTTATACTCGTCCTAAAGTTCAATTCAGTACAAGTTCTAGAGAATTTAAGTCAAAATTCAGATCATTTTACCAACAAAAATTTTCAAAAGTTTAAATCCAAAAAATATCTATGAGAGAAAAGAGGGAGAAGAAGAGTGAGAGGGAGAGATAGTTGTACATGATTAGAAACTATATGAATGAATATGGATGAATTGTAGATGAATTTCATTAGGTTATAGTAGTTAAAATTTGTATTCTATAAAACAGTCGATTTAAAATAATCTCATATTTTTATTATTTTTTGGGTTATTGTCTAAATTGATTTTACAGTCTTTTGCTCCATAAAACTGTTTTTAAAATCATATAACTAAATAAGTTTTGTGACATAAAAACATTAAAAGATATTTTTCTAAATTTTTTTCCAAAAACATATTTTAGATATTATTTTTTAAGATGCAATCCAAAAATACCCTGAGTTTCTCTCGATATTTTCTAATTTCTTATCTTCTGATTTTTTTTATTATTATACTAAAGTTTTCTCTAATTATATTATATTCTGTATCTTTTGTAACTACTCTTCCACTCCCCATAACTATTCACTATTTTTTAAATTTATTTACATAAAATTAATTTTACTATCCAATAATTTGATATTATTCTTTTATTTATGCTCCGTTTGGTAGAGAAGATGGAAAGTAGAAGAAATACACTTTATATCCTTCAAAGATAGAAAGTAGGAAGGATACACTTTCTTTCATTTGTGTTTGATTGGATAGTTGGAAAATAAAAATGACTATTTTTTTTTGTACTGACTAAAATTAGGGGTGACAATAGGGTCGAGTCGTATCGTGTCAGATTCGTGTTAAATCATTACGAGTTTGTGTCGAATATTAGTCAAACCTAACTTAACTCATTTGATTAATTGTGTCGTGTCGAGTTACAAGTTGACCTATTTTGAGTTAAAAAATTTTACCCTTAGTTAAGATGAAAAAAATATATTTTTTTTAATTTAAAATTTTAATTTTTTAATTTTTTAAAAATTAATTTTTAAAATTTTGTAAAATATATATACATATTTTACCATTGTATTTTTATATGAAATTAATGTATACATAAGATATATAGACAAATAAAATACATCTCAACACAAATAATTAATTTTTTTTTCAATTTTGGAGGGATTGATTTTAATAAGTTGAAAGGAAAGTTAATCTATCCATTTTTTTATCCTTCCTACTTTCCTTTTTTATCAAACATGATATTTTATTTATTCCTCCAATTTTTCATCTTTTCACTTTTTTATTGTGTCAAACGAAACATTAGTGTCATAAGTGACAAAATGATACGAAACAATTTTCTCTTTCACTTTATCATCTACTACCACGTGCATTGTACGAGACGGAAAATGCCTCGTATGGGGTAATTCTATCCGTGTAAGTTCATCCAATAAAAGTCTAGTCATGTAAATCATTCATTAGTAAGGGTGCTAGTTGGAAAAATATTAACTTTTAATTAATTTTTGTTGCTTATTTCGTTAATGTTTGATGGAATAATCATCAAAAGTTAATGAAATGTCACATTATAATATTTTTAATATATTAAATATATAATATAATATAAGAAATTTAATATTTAAAGATATAAAATAAAAAATTTTAAATCTTTTAGGGTATAAAGTGTGATTCCCCCAACTTTCAAAGGCTATTTTTGGTAAAAACAATTTGAAAGATACGATAAATACTGACATAAATACTACAGGCAGCCTGGGGGTGATGGATACAGGGGAGGTATAAATGGTAAGAAGCCAGACCCAGACTATGAGCCCATCATCAGGTTTTGGGCTTTACTCTTCCTTTGCTTTCGGTACTCGGCGACGACTGAAACCTTTAGCGGAGCGAACAAGCTCTGAATCCGTCACCAATACTACAATCGATACAGTATAGAACATAATCATCTCCATTTCCAATCAAAAAACTCCACAAATCGCTACAGGTTCATTGTCGTCTCTCACTACCTCAGACAACAACCTTGGGTCTCAAATTCACCGATCTGAATCGCGATAACTGTTCAACCATCACTTTATCTTCGTTTGTCTGAGAGTTAATTGAAAGTATTGATTGATCGTTTACAAGTGGCAATGGCGCTGTCGGCTTCTGACCTACCTGCGATGTATACACTGCTCGCCAATTCATTGAGTCGCGACGAGAGCGTACGCAAACCTGCCGAAGCCGCGCTCGCACAATCCGAATGTAGACCTGGTTTCTGCTCTTGTCTCATGGTATTTTTCCCATTTCTTTCTCTATTCTAGGGTTTAAGAGCCACAATGAGGTGTACATGTACAGAAAAACATAAATGTTCATTTCAAAGGTTTAAGAGCATCAATGAGCAGTGCATGCGTGGAAATACATGCATTTATATACCTATATTTGTGTCTAAATGTAGATAAGTGCAAATGGAGTTTGCGTAGTGAAGAATTTTTCATGGTGCAGGAAGTAATAACTGCAAAGGATTTAGCCGCTCAGGTGGATGTTCGATTATTGGCTTCGGTTTATTTCAAGAACAGCATCAATCGGTACTGGAGGAACAGGCGTGATTCCTCGTAAGCTGTTCTTCCTGTCCTTCAATTTATGGTCATAACTGTAAGGATGTATTTGATTGGAGCTCTTTTGTTGGATTTGGTTTCTAAGCCACTATCTACTGCAAAAATATCTCTTCAGGGGAATTAGCGTTGAGGAGAAAATACATTTGAGACAAAAACTGTTGTCACACTTAAGAGAAGACAATTATCAGGTGGTGCCTAAATTGCTCATGAGATAATCGTATCTTTATTCTGTTTATTAATGTAAGGTTGACAGGCACAACTGCATTTGTGTGTCTGTATTAGTATTAAAGTGAGAACATTTGTTGGTTCTGATTCGCTTTATCAAATAAGCTGTAGTGAAGTTTCTATTGTGGTCGCATTTTTGTTCAATAGTACTTACACTCGATTGCTGGTATTTTTTTTTTTTTATGGCTGAACAATTTGTTGCACTCCTAATCCCCTACATAAATCCTACTCTAAGCCTAGAAGCTTTGCTGATTTCATGTGTTTCAAATCTTTTCTATAATACAGATTGCTCTCACATTGGCTGTGCTTATCTCGAAAATTGCTCGCATCGACTATCCCAGAGATTGGTATGGTTCGTATTGCTATTTTCTCAAAACATGTTTGTAACTCTTGGAAATTGTGAATAATAGGCAAAATTGTATGTGCTAGTTTCATTGATACGCCTACTTTACTATCTGAAAATGCTGAATGAAGAAGTTGGCTATGAGCCTATGATTGTGCCTGGACATGTACTACTAAGTAGGGGAGAAACCAATAAAAGTATTACTTCTGTGAGTCTATAAACCTTGCATTTAAAATGTGCCTTTTGTCCAGTATGCCTGTGGTATTTGAATTAAAGATGCTGGGCTGGTTCTGATTATCTTTGTGATCGATGCGGTGGAAAATTCACGTATGCCTAGCCATTCTATGCATGTTTCTAACCTCTGATGAACCTGGGCAAAGTATCAGTAACAGAACTATTTTACCTTGATAATTTAAAAAGTGCTATTTTTGTGCTTTGGTACTAACGAGTCTGCCTATCTTTATTATTTTCTTCTTTCCATGCTGAGCTTCAGCATATAGAGCAAACATTTTTATTGGCTTGGTCTATTATGCAATTGATGTTGTGTTGATTTTCATTCTTGTTCAATTTTTAGATGTTCTTTTCCTTGGTCAAGCTCTATGTAGCTGACTTGATTATTTATCCAGGCCAGAGCTTGTTTCTACTTTAGCACAGCAGCTTCAATCGGCGGATATTCTAACTTCCCACAGGATTTTTATGGTTCTTTTTCGAACTTTGAAGGAGTTGTCCACTAAACGTCTTACATCAGATCAAAGGACCTTTGCTGAGGTACAGATTTTTGTACTGTATTTTTACATTCACATGTTTTAATCAATCACAATGCATCAGTAGTCAGTACTTTAGTTCTGTCATTTATAACANTTTTCAATTTTGGAGGGATTGATTTTAATAAGTTGAAAGGAAAGTTAATCTATCCATTTTTTTATCCTTCCTACTTTCCTTTTTTATCAAACATGATATTTTATTTATTCCTCCAATTTTTCATCTTTTCACTTTTTTATTGTGTCAAACGAAACATTAGTGTCATAAGTGACAAAATGATACGAAACAATTTTCTCTTTCACTTTATCATCTACTACCACGTGCATTGTACGAGACGGAAAATGCCTCGTATGGGGTAATTCTATCCGTGTAAGTTCATCCAATAAAAGTCTAGTCATGTAAATCATTCATTAGTAAGGGTGCTAGTTGGAAAAATATTAACTTTTAATTAATTTTTGTTGCTTATTTCGTTAATGTTTGATGGAATAATCATCAAAAGTTAATGAAATGTCACATTATAATATTTTTAATATATTAAATATATAATATAATATAAGAAATTTAATATTTAAAGATATAAAATAAAAAATTTTAAATCTTTTAGGGTATAAAGTGTGATTCCCCCAACTTTCAAAGGCTATTTTTGGTAAAAACAATTTGAAAGATACGATAAATACTGACATAAATACTACAGGCAGCCTGGGGGTGATGGATACAGGGGAGGTATAAATGGTAAGAAGCCAGACCCAGACTATGAGCCCATCATCAGGTTTTGGGCTTTACTCTTCCTTTGCTTTCGGTACTCGGCGACGACTGAAACCTTTAGCGGAGCGAACAAGCTCTGAATCCGTCACCAATACTACAATCGATACAGTATAGAACATAATCATCTCCATTTCCAATCAAAAAACTCCACAAATCGCTACAGGTTCATTGTCGTCTCTCACTACCTCAGACAACAACCTTGGGTCTCAAATTCACCGATCTGAATCGCGATAACTGTTCAACCATCACTTTATCTTCGTTTGTCTGAGAGTTAATTGAAAGTATTGATTGATCGTTTACAAGTGGCAATGGCGCTGTCGGCTTCTGACCTACCTGCGATGTATACACTGCTCGCCAATTCATTGAGTCGCGACGAGAGCGTACGCAAACCTGCCGAAGCCGCGCTCGCACAATCCGAATGTAGACCTGGTTTCTGCTCTTGTCTCATGGTATTTTTCCCATTTCTTTCTCTATTCTAGGGTTTAAGAGCCACAATGAGGTGTACATGTACAGAAAAACATAAATGTTCATTTCAAAGGTTTAAGAGCATCAATGAGCAGTGCATGCGTGGAAATACATGCATTTATATACCTATATTTGTGTCTAAATGTAGATAAGTGCAAATGGAGTTTGCGTAGTGAAGAATTTTTCATGGTGCAGGAAGTAATAACTGCAAAGGATTTAGCCGCTCAGGTGGATGTTCGATTATTGGCTTCGGTTTATTTCAAGAACAGCATCAATCGGTACTGGAGGAACAGGCGTGATTCCTCGTAAGCTGTTCTTCCTGTCCTTCAATTTATGGTCATAACTGTAAGGATGTATTTGATTGGAGCTCTTTTGTTGGATTTGGTTTCTAAGCCACTATCTACTGCAAAAATATCTCTTCAGGGGAATTAGCGTTGAGGAGAAAATACATTTGAGACAAAAACTGTTGTCACACTTAAGAGAAGACAATTATCAGGTGGTGCCTAAATTGCTCATGAGATAATCGTATCTTTATTCTGTTTATTAATGTAAGGTTGACAGGCACAACTGCATTTGTGTGTCTGTATTAGTATTAAAGTGAGAACATTTGTTGGTTCTGATTCGCTTTATCAAATAAGCTGTAGTGAAGTTTCTATTGTGGTCGCATTTTTGTTCAATAGTACTTACACTCGATTGCTGGTATTTTTTTTTTTTTATGGCTGAACAATTTGTTGCACTCCTAATCCCCTACATAAATCCTACTCTAAGCCTAGAAGCTTTGCTGATTTCATGTGTTTCAAATCTTTTCTATAATACAGATTGCTCTCACATTGGCTGTGCTTATCTCGAAAATTGCTCGCATCGACTATCCCAGAGATTGGTATGGTTCGTATTGTTATTTTCTCAAAACATGTTTGTAACTCTTGGAAATTGTGAATAATAGGCAAAATTGTATGTGCTAGTTTCATTGATACGCCTACTTTACTATCTGAAAATGCTGAATGAAGAAGTTGGCTATGAGCCTATGATTGTGCCTGGAAATGTACTACTTAGTAGGGGAGAAACCAATAAAAGTATTACTTCTGTGAGTCTATAACCTTGCATTTAAAATGTGCCTTTTGTCCAGTATGCCTGTGGTATTTGAATTAAAGATGCTGGGCTGGTTCTGATTATCTTTGTGATCGATGCGGTGGAAAATTCACGTATGCCTAGCCATTCTATGCATGTTTCTAACCTCTGATGAACCTGGGCAAAGTATCAGTAACAGAACTATTTTACCTTGATAATTTAAAAAGTGCTATTTTTGTGCTTTGGTACTAACGAGTCTGCCTATCTTTATTATTTTCTTCTTTCCATGCTGAGCTTCAGCATATAGAGCAAACATTTTTATTGGCTTGGTCTATTATGCAATTGATGTTGTGTTGATTTTCATTCTTGTTCAATTTTTAGATGTTCTTTTCCTTGGTCAAGCTCTATGTAGCTGACTTGATTATATATCCAGGCCAGAGCTCGTTTCTACTTTAGCACAGCAGCTTCAATCGGCGGATATTCTAACTTCCCACAGGATTTTTATGGTTCTTTTTCGAACTTTGAAGGAGTTGTCCACTAAACGTCTTACATCAGATCAAAGGACCTTTGCTGAGGTACAGATTTTTGTACTGTATTTTTACATTCACATGTTTTAATCAATCACAATGCATCAGTAGTCAGTACTTTAGTTCTGTCATTTATAACATATGTTGAAAAGGTTTCAAAATTCATCTTGTTATTTGGAATAATCTCTCTGTAAAAAATACTTTAGATTGTTCCGATAGCTTAAATAAGTTCCTGATTTTATTTTATCATGNCATATGTTGAAAAGGTTTCAAAATTCATCTTGTTATTTGGAATAATCTCTCTGTAGAAAATACTTTAGATTGTTCCGATAGCTTAAATAAGTTCCTGATTTTATTTTATCATGAGGGAGACAGACAGAGCAAATGCAGTTTTCTTACTATCTCAGAGTATACAACATAGTGAACCTAGGGAACATTTTGGTATGAGTGAAGATGTTCTTGAGTGAAACACTCTACCTTTTTGAAAAGACCCTAGTCCTTTGGACTTATGATTAAATTGTATATGTTGTTTATACATACATGAGTTGCTTTTCCTTGACTAGTGGACTTGCTTTATCAGTTCCAAAATAAGAATAGGATCTTTGAGGTGAGTTCAATTCACTGCAAATACTGTATCAAAGTTAACACCCATCCTAACCCCAAATCCCCTTGCTTTCCTCCACCTTTTTCCAGGCTAACATATAGTTGCGTTGTGATTTGGGGTTCTGATCCATTTCAAAAGGATTAAACATAATATTACNTGCTTTATCAGTTCCAAAATAAGAATAGGATCTTTGAGGTGAGTTCAATTCACTGCAAATACTGTATCAAAGTTAACACCAATCCTAACCCCAAATCCCCTTGCTTTCCTCCACCTTTTCCCAGGCTAACATATAGTTGCGTTGTGATTTGGGGTTCTGATCCATTTCAAAAGGATTAAACATAATATTACCATCACAACTTAGTGTACACTATTTGTGGATGCTCTTTTTGGCAGATATCTTCCCAATTCTTTGATTACAGCTGGCACCTTTGGCAGAGAGATGTGCAGACCATACTGCTTGGTTTTTCGGCACTTGCTCAAAACTTTAGTTCTAATGCTTCAAAGTTACATCATGATGATCTTTATCTAATATGTGAAAGATGGTTTCTGTGTTCGAAGATAATTCGCCAATTGATAATTTCTGGGTTTCCAAGTGATGCAAAATCTTTTCAGGTACTTAAGTGGTTATCTCTGTCCTTTACCAGGTTTAAATTTTGCTGTGCATAATTTCTGTAGTTTGATGGAACTTTTATTGATTTACAGGATATAATTTAACTAATTTTCTTTTTAGGAGGTGTGGCCAGTTAAGGAGGTCTCCCCTGCGATGTTGAATGCTATTCAGTCATTCCTACCATACTGTGAGATCTTTCTCCTGTTTTCACTTTGAGTTTTCCAAGTGGTAGACTGTTATTCCTAGTTCTTTTGAGCCATTTTTGCATGTTATAATTGTGTTTCTTGACTGCTGCATCTTTCTACCTGTTTGAGGCACCACCCCTTAGTTTTTTGCCGTGCCATGTCATTATTTGATGTTTCCATTTGCAATTCAATAGACAGAAAAACAGAATTTTTGGAAGCGTTGATTATGTATTTTGGTTTTAAAAAAAATATAATTAAGGTTGCATACATCTAACCCTAACAGGCCCCACAATGGCGGGAGCCTCCACCACTGGGTACACCCTAATTTTGTTTTTTGGTTGCATCTTGTCATGAGTGAAATGGAGGAACACGATTCATCTTGCTGCTCCAAGTAGTTGGGATAAAACTTTTTTTGAGTGGAGTTGAGTTACCTGTTATTAGGAGCATACTTTGAAGTGCTTCAGTGATTGCATTCATCAGAATTTTAATTAGTAGAACTTTNCCACCACTGGGTACACCCTAATTTTGTTTTTTGGTTGCATCTTGTCATGAGTGAAATGGAGGAACACGATCTTGCTGCTCCAAGTAGTTGGGATAAAACTTTTTTTGAGTGGAGTTGAGTTACCTGTTATTAGGAGCATACTTTGAAGTGCTTCANCATGTACTACTAAGTAGGGGAGAAACCAATAAAAGTATTACTTCTGTGAGTCTATAAACCTTGCATTTAAAATGTGCCTTTTGTCCAGTATGCCTGTGGTATTTGAATTAAAGNCTGTTATTAGGAGCATACTTTGAAGTGCTTCAGTGATTGCATTCATCAGAATTTTAATTAGTAGAACTTTAAGAAATAATTGTTGATCGACAGTTTTGCTAAACCAGTCCATCTTGCCTAAATTAGCCTTGAAAACAGTAATTTTTGGTTCATGTTGGGCTCCCCGGCCCAAGAACTCAGCCTATTTTTCCATTATCTCTTTGTAATCAAGGTTGTTAGTAACTTTTCATTACTAACAATNCTAAATTAGCCTTGAAAACAGTAATTTTTGGTTCATGTTGGGCTCCCCCGGCCCAAGAACGCAGCCCATTTTTCCATTATCTCTTTGTAATCAAGGTTGTTAGTAACTTTTCATTACTAACAATCATAGTAGGCAATAAAATGCTTAGCAAAATTGTTCGCGAATTAAGCACAATGATTACATTCAAGACTGAGATAAGTCTGTGCATAATTGTATGGCTTGAAAATATATCCTTGAGGACTCAGAAAACCACATTTCTTCAATCATAAGTGAAATGTTGAAGTTACACATTTTAAATATCTTGCTGAGTTACGTACAGAAAGAATTTTCTTGCCAAAATTGGGAGATATGCTGATGTTGCAATTTAACTGCAGATTTATCTTTCCAAGAGCAACACCACAAATTCTGGAACTTCTTACAGAAGGCATGTAGTAAATTGATGAAGATTTTAGTAACAATTCAGCGCAGGCATCCTTACTCCTTTGGTGATAAATGTGTCCTTCCACCCGTCATGAACTTCTGTTTGAACAAGATTACAGATCCTGAACCTGAGATAGTGTCATTTGAGCAATTTCTTATTCAGTGTATGTCGATGGCAAAATCTGTCCTGGAATGTAAAGAGTATAAGCCAAGCTTGACAGGTCGTGTAATGGATGAAAATGGGCTTACCCTAGAGCAGATGAAGAAAAACATTTCCAACGCTGTTGCTGGTGTCCTCACTTCCCTTTTGCCCAGTGACCGAGTGATACTCTTATGTAAACTCTTGATAAGAAGGTAGTGGCAAATTCATCTATCCTCTGTTGCCTGTCTAGCTTGCATACATGGATGTGGATTTTGAGTGAGATATGTTAACTGAATCCCCATGATTGTCAAACATGTGCCAATTAAAGAGTTATTTTTTATTTTATTTTTTGGAGGGGGAAGGAAAATGGGAGGGGGACATGAACCCTTGACCCCAGGCAAAGATTTTATAAGATAAGGAGTACCATTAGACCAAATGCCCATTGNAAGGGGGAAGGAAAATGGGAGAGGGACATGAACCCTTGACCCCAGGCAAAGATTTTATAAGATAAGGAGTACCATTAGACCAAATGTCCATTGGTCTAATTAAAGAGTTATTATCCTTCTTGTTGGGCATTGGAAGTGTTGGTGNGAGGGGGAAGGAAAATGGGAGGGGGACATGAACCCTTGACCCCAGGCAAAGATTTTATAAGATAAGGAGTACCATTAGACCAAATGCCCATTGGTCTAATTAAAGAGTTATTATCCTTCTTGTTGGGCATTGGAAGTGTTGGTGTGGGTATAGGCCTAACCTTTGGCGCTATACGCACAAAGGGACTGGCCTCCGTTTTGAACCCACAGGGTATTAGCTCGGAATTACCACGGTACCTGGCAATGACCTCTAAAATGCATGCTAGGTGATATTAAATAATGGCGGGTCATATTTTATGATAACATGCCATTGCATCCAATATCAAAATGTTTTGACAAAATGACACTGTGGTTCAACATGGTTTTATGTGGTTGGCTAAGTTTTAGATTGAACTAAGGGAATAACTCAAATTGGGGCCGTCTTCAATAATATGATATGATTTCTTCATTTTTTAATTATAGTGTTCCTAAGCCTGTGCTACTGCTGCTGAAACAGGTATTTTGTTTTAACAGCTAGTGATTTGGAGGAGTGGGGTCAGAACCCAGAGTCTTTTCATCATGAGCAGGATTCGGTCCTGTGGACAGAAAAACTAAGGCCCTGTGCTGAAGCTCTATATATTGTTTTGTTTGAAAATCATAGCCAAGTAGGTGTACTTAGTTCTTGGTGTTAGAATCTTCCTTAATTTTCCGGTAACATGTTGAATTTAAAAAGGTGCACTTGTTTCTATCATTGTAATTTTCAGCTGTTAGGCCCTATTGTGGTTTCCATTCTTCAAGAGGCAATGAATGCTTGTCCTCCTTCAATAAGTGAAATTACTCCAGCATTACTTCTCAAGGATGCCGCATATGGTGCTGCTGCATATGTTTATTATGAGCTTTCAAATTATATGAGCTTCAAAGACTGGTATGCTCATTCCCTGCACTTCTAGGTGCCGTATTTATCAATTGGTCTATCTTACATAGCTGTTTCAACTATGCATTCTGTTGAACTTTAGATATTTTAAGTGACAACAGCAAGAAAAACAATTCGTGTGTATTGTACTCTCTCTCTAGCGTTTTCCCCCCCTTTTTGGTGGCAGAGGGTGTTTCTTCGTTCTTTTGCCTCTCTCTCAAACCACCCCCCCCCTTTCTTCTCTTTCCACTGTTACTTTTCCCCTTTTTTGCCCCCCTGCTGAGGGGGTTTTTATGGGTGGGGGATGGGGGTTTGGCCTTGCATATGTCCTGTTTTTACATTGTTCAAACAAGTTGAAATGTTTTTGGTTTGGAGAATGGGGGAAAATGATAAAGAGAGGGAAGAGGGGGGGGGTGTCTGGTTTATTCATGTATTATAAAAAATACTTGTGTTCCTTGCATCTGAGTGTTACTCTCGATTTTATTTTCTAATGAGCAAGACTGGATTTTCTATAAATCGAGAATCAGCTAACATTTGGCCTTTCGTCTGTGACATGGACAGTTTAGTGGAGAGTCCTCTGGGGTTTTGGTTTGTCTTGGGCAAACTTTACTTCTTTTCCTTTTTTGGTCTGAATGAAACTTGAATTTCAGTGACCTGAACTTACGGTAGATTTTTGATAAATAACCTTCAAAAAAAAATTCTGCAAAAATTACATCGAAGTATACTTGTAATATCTTTAGTCTGCTACCTTGGACTCCTACATATGAAAGGTCCATGGACTTGCCACTTGAGTTTCTATGAGTAAAATGTGATGTGATGACACATAGAAGTTTTGTGCAAGCCCAACCCGGACCAGATTGAGATGGAGCGTTGCCTAAAACATTGTTTGATTTTGAGCTGGGCTTGTGCTCAAGCTGTAATACTAGTATCATGTTTGGGTTGGGTTGACTTGACATATTGACAAAACTTGATATGCAGTCCTCCCCGTAATTTCTGTAGCCAAACCTCATAATAACTTATTTCTTTGAGAAAGGTTTACTAGTTTGAAAGATGCTTCTGTTCTTTGTCCCTACCTGGTTGATTTCCCTCCTGGTTTNCGTTGCCTAAAACATTGTTTGATTTTGAGCTGGGCTTGTGCTCAAGCTGTAATACTAGTATCATGTTTGGGTTGGGTTGACTTGGCATATTGACAAAACTTGATATGCAGTCCTCCCCGTAATTTCTGTAGCCAAACCTCTTAATAACTTATTTCTTTGAGAAAGGTTTAATAGTTTGAAAGATGCTTCTGTTCTTTGTCCCTACCTGGTTGATTTCCCTCCTGGTTTATATACACTGTTGTATTTGGTGGTCTAGTTACTTGCTACTTATACAGCAGACAATCAATGGGGTCTGCTCATCTTGTTTTGTTATCTTTTTTTGGGTGATTCTACGGCTTTTTCCCCTTGGAACTGTTATGTAGGTTCAACGGTGCATTATCTCTAGAACTCAAAAATGATCATCCAAATATGCGGATCATCCACAGGAAAGTTGGACTAATCCTTGGGCAGTGGGTTTCTGAGGTATGTTACTGAATGAGCTGGATTGTAAGCTCATGATTATTAGTTGGTTATACTGCCTGCTATTATGCATATTTTATTTCCATCTCTCTTCTTGAGTGAGTTTGAGATTGTATGTGCATGTTTTGCTCATGATATGGAATCAATCTTTAGGCCATGCTATATAATTGATTTAACAAGCACATTCTTCTTATTTTCCATTAGCACTNATGATTATTAGTTGGTTATACTGCCTGCTATTATGCATATTTTATTTCCATCTCTCTTCTTAAATGAGTTTGAGATTGTATGTGCATGTTTTGCTCATGATATGGAATCAATCTTTAGGCCATGCTATATAATTGATTTAACAAGCACATTCTTCTTATTTTCCATTAGCACTGTAGAGAAATTACAAACCAACCCCCCCAAAAAAAAAATCATCTGTTTGCCAACGTGGAGACTGGAAATATTTTTTTTTAAGAGCTGGAAATTCCTAATGGAATGTTCTCTGCCATGGATGATCTAAAATCCTTCTGATGGATAGGTTGTTGGTACCAGTTANCCCAAAAAAAAAAAATCATCTGTTTGCCAACGTGGAGACTGGAAATATTTTTTTTTAAGAGCTGGAAATTCCTAATGGAATGTTCTCTGCCATGGATGATCTAAAATCCTTCTGATGGATAGGTTGTTGGTACCAGTTACACTACTAGTACCAGCAAGGTAAACTTTTATGGGGCGTTCAGTGGTACTCTGTTCATGGTTGTGTACATTGTTACAAGAATCTACAACTTTTGTACTTAAACTATGAAGGGTAGAGTGGAGTTAATTGATATTTATATGGTCAATGTTCTATTAACCTTTTTTTTTGGGCCCATATACTTTTGTCACCATATTTCAAATGATATCCAGTCTTCAGTGATTTGGTTTTTGATGTCTGCTTTTCTTTGAAGATAAAAGATGACACCAGACGNCAATCCTTCTGATGGATAGGTTGTTGGTACCAGTTACACTACTAGTACCAGCAAGGTAACCTTTTATGGGGCTTTCAGTGGTACTCTGTTCATGGTTGTGTACATTGTTACAAGAATCTACAACTTTTGTACTTAAACTATGAAGGGTAGAGTGGAGTTAATTGATATTTATATGGTCAATGTTCTATTAACCTTTTTTTTTGGGCCCATATACTTTTGTCACCATATTTCAAATGATATCCAGTCTTCAGTGATTTGGTTTTTGATGTCTGCTTTTCTTTGAAGATAAAAGATGACACCAGACGACCAGTATACTGTGCTTTGATCAAATTGCTTCAGGAAAAAGACCTATGTGTCAGGGTATGATGCATTTTATATTACTCTTCAGTCCTACCCAGCTTCTCAAAGATTTTTTAAATAGTTTCTCGAGAATCACATTATAATTTGAGCCTTCCAATTTAATGTTCTCTTTATCCTGCTGAATTTCTGAAGTAGTTCCTCAATTTTTTCAGCTGGCAGCATCCCGGTCTTTGTATTTTCATATTGAAGATGCAAACTTCTCGGAGCAAGATTTTTCTGACCTTCTTCCAACATGTTGGGATTTGTGTTTTAAATTGGTGGAGGAAGTCCAGGAGTTTGACTCGAAGGTAAATTATTGCTGTTGTTTCTTCCAACTGTGTATCACGTAGTCCAATACTTTTTTTTTTATTGGTTACTGATTTCCTTTTCTTTCCTTTTTTTGGCCCATGTCTGCTTTATTTGCATACAGTGGATTTAGTCTTACCTTCCGCTTCATGTTTATGTATGTTGACAACTTGGGAACTTGGTGTTAATATGATACACATATCAGTATCACAACTAACTGTTATTACTACCAAGACAATCAGATTGTGGTTTTTGTGGAAGTAATAGTTCCCTTAACTAATAGGTGGTATATCTTAATGCAACTTAACTGAATTAAACAATGTCTCATCCCTTGTTCGACCACAGAACATTTTTCTGTGTGTAATTTCAATTGAATTATGTGCTATCATATACCTTTTTGCTCTCAGTCACGGTTGATTTTTGTCTACCTTTTAGTTTCGTTTTCTAAACGAGTCTAAAAAATTGTTCAAGCTCAGCTTATTTAGAACATGAGCCGAGCTTGAGTTGAGCCAAGCCCGAGTAGCTCGGCTCAATTATTAGCCCTAGCAGCAACCCCCTTCTCAATTCTAGGTTTAAATCTGATCCCCAGCACATAAAATCTTCAATCTTGTGAGAATATGATGTAGTTTTGTTTGAAAGAGGCACAGAATCAAATCATTAATACCTTCAGTTATCTGAGAAAGAACATGAAGTATGTATGTGGATGTGACCTCAATTATCCTCTCCTTGTGGATTCACATTCCATCGCCTTGTGGAGCAGCATGGCTGCCATCACCTCTTGGGATCATCCATAAGACCAACATTTTTCAGTTTCTCAGTAATGTTATCGTTGCTTATTCTCTTAAATACCCAGATTGTTGTGGCACATGTTTTTTGGTGGCATCCGGTTGTTTTAAGTCGTGCAGATCCACTGCTAGATCTGGTTCGGTGCTTTCCATCTGGCCAACAAGTATAGGATACCAATGGCAGTCTTTTGTAATTATTTTTGGATATATAATTAAGATTCTTTGATAGTAAAATCAGCGTTTTCCCTGTGTTAGCGACTTCAAAAATACAACATATTTATATAACATATCAAAATCATGTGTTTGATACCAATAAAATCATTATGAATCACTAAAAAACTATATTCCTTTGAATTTGGAGTGAAAATGCATATCCAATTTTTTAAGGGATATGCCAAATCAAAAAAAAAAAAAAAACGTCTTTGACTTCTGTTACCATTATGAAACGTCGTTTTATTTCTATGATTTGACGAATATCTTCGTTATAAATCTAGTATATCTTGCATCCATTTTAGCACCTGCATTTCAACCACCCTTAGTTTTTTATATGTTTTTTCTTAGTAGCCTAACACTATAGCAGAAAACATGTTGGTCTTATTGATGTTGTGTTGTTGTGTCTGCTTCTTGTTTTTAAGAAATTGCCTTGTTGGGATGTTCAGATCTGGTCCGTGTAATGTTCAATGTCTGGAAGACGTCACATCAATGTTGAAATGATTTAATTTGCACAATATTGGAAAACTCAATATGATCTCATAGCCAGCTTATGCTCCGATTCCTATTGTTTGTCTTCATATAAATTTTGATTGTTAATTTTGCATAATTTTCACCTGAGTTCCCTGCTGCTGTTAAATTTATTTTCAGGTTCAAGTTTTAAATACCATCTCTGTCCTAATAGCAAATGCCTCTGAAGTTGTTTCATTTGCAAACAACTTGGTGCAGTTTTTCCAGAAGGTATTGTGTAAAATTTATATTTCTACTGATGTAAATCTCTCTGCTAAGTATGCATGCAGCAAGGGCAGTTTGGAGTACTAGTTTGGCGTCTTGGAAAAATATTGAGCATAATTAGAAAAATTAAATGATAATGGATTGGCATTAAGCTTGTATTTTTTCCCCGTAATAATAGATGTATCACTGTTGCTACGTGGAAGGTATGTTAAAGCTACACAGGGTGCAGATGGTATCCAATGTGATTGTTTGTACTAGAGCATTGGTGACTGAGTTAATAAAACAGAGCAAGGCTATTGAACCAACACATTCAAATGATGATATGAATGGAACACCTGTGATGTGAAATAAGTAAAACCAGGAGTGCTTAGGGAGGAATGGCTCTCTAAAATGGATAGATATTGAATTGAGTAATTGTTTAAAAGAGTAGCTTCTCTTCACCCAGTACATAGGACCCACTATCTGGTTGCCCGTGGTTGACAAGCTCTCCGAGTATTATTGTCCTGCACTGATTTAGATGTACCCTTTCAATAGGCCTGGGAGGAATCCTCTGGTGAAAGCCTTCTACAGATTCAGCTTCTTACTGCACTAAAGAACTTTGTGGTTGCACTTGGTTATCAATCACCCATTTGTTACAACATGCTATTGCCTATCTTACAAATTGGAATCAGTGTAAATAGCCCAGATGAACTTCTGGAAGACAGCATGCTGGTTAGTGTTTGACTTATTTTTCTCATTTTCTGCCCCACCTTCCCACCCAATCCCAGTACAAAAAAAAGAATCCTTCATTACGTTCAGTTTTGTATTACTGATTCTGGCCTCATTATCATGCAGTTATGGGAAGCCACGCTTTCTCATGCACCCTCAATGGTGCCTCAACTACTAGGATATTTCCCGTGTCTTGTGGAAATCTTGGAAAGAAGTTTTGATCACTTGAAGGTCTAGTTTACATTAACTTTTTGCTGCCTCAATGTTCGATTATGTTTTTTGAACTGGAATGTTATATTATGCTGATCTTTCAATTATTTGAAGCTTAGGTTGCTGCCAGTATCACTGAAGGCTACATAATATTGGGTGGAACTGAGTTTCTTAGTATGCATGCTTCTAGTGTAGCTAAACTCCTTGATCTGGTTGTTGGAAATGTCAATGACAGGGGGCTGCTTTCAATTCTTCCACTCGTTGATATTCTAATTCAGGTATTTGATTCGAGACATGCCTATGTCATGATGATTAGTCTACTTAGTCTAGAATTGGTTATTATTTGATGGTGAACTCTTTTGATTCTCTAAAAAAGAATGATACCTTAAGCAACTGATATTGGACACTTAAAATGGCCATGTCGTCTAGTAATTTTTGAGGTCTGTTTGGGCGTAGATCCAGTGCCAGTGGGCCTTTATTGATTTTAATTAACCACTATATACTTGCTTCTGCTGTTTGGTAGTGTTTCCCCATGGAGGTGCCTCAGTTGATCAATGCTACTCTTCAGGTGATTGTGGTTTTTTTTTTCTCTGATGATTTTATATGCAAGCACTCGAGATTGCTGCTATTCTTCCACATTTCTTAGAGTTTATGGCCTTTTCGTTTCTGTGGATATCTATAGAAGTTCATCTTCATATGCTTGACTGGGGGTGATGACCATGATCCTTCTAAGGCAGCTGTAAAAGCATCTTCAGCAGCTATCCTCGCGAGAGTTCTGGTAATGAATACCAACTACCTCGCCCAATTAACAGCAGAACCATCACTCTCAGTACTCTTGCAGAAGACAGGTTTTCCAGTAGAAGAAAATATTCTTCTTTGCCTGGTTGACGTATGGCTTGACAAGGTCAGTTAGTCATGAAAGAATACTGTAAATAAATGGATGGATTGATATTATAAAGCATCTTAATCTGGTTTAATTTCCTGTGTTTGGAGAAGCATCTTAATCTGGTTTAATTTTCTGTTTTTAGATAGTCCTAAATGAAACAAAATCTTGATCCTCCTGTCAATTCTTAAATGTGGGATACCATTGGGCCTTTAGAGCAACTCCAACCCAGCTTAGCAAAATAGCTAGCCAAAATATATTTAAATATTATATTCTCTATTTTAGCTATAGCCACTTTTTCAAATTTACACTAACCACGCTCTCTATTTTAGTTAACTATTTATCACCCATCCGGTTCAAATAACAAAAATCAATTGATCATAACAATTCANCTAACAGCAGAACCATCACTCTCAGTACTCTTGCAGAAGACAGGTTTTCCAGTAGAAGAAAACATTCTTCTTTGCCTGGTTGACGTATGGCTTGACAAGGTCAGTTAGTCATGAAAGAATACTGTAAATAAATGGATGGATTGATATTATAAAGCATCTTAATCTGGTTTAATTTCCTGTGTTTGGAGAAGCATCTTAATCTGGTTTAATTTTCTGTTTTTAGATAGTCCTAAATGAAACAAAATCTTGATCCTCCTGTCAATTCTTAAATGTGGGATACCATTGGGCCTTTAGAGCAACTCCAACCCAGCTTAGCAAAATAGCTAGCCAAAATATATTTAAATATTATATTCTCTATTTTAGCTATAGCCACTTTTTCAAATTTACACTAACCACGCTCTCTATTTTAGTTAACTATTTATCACCCATCCGGTTCAAATAACAAAAATCAATTGATCATAACAATTCAATCATACATTGTATAAATTTAACCATAAATTAATAGCAATGTAATCACCTATTTAACCAAAAAATCAATAGCAATTTAACCATATATTTAACCAAAAATTAATACCTACTTAATCAAAAATCAATATCAATCAATAACAAAAATCAATAGAGATGGGGGTGGGTTTCGGCAGTAGAACATAGGGGAGGGGGAGTTGGGTTTCGGCAGCAATGCAGCAAAACAGAGGGAAGGGGGAGCTGGGTTTCGGCAGCAAAATAGAGGGGAGGGGGGATGGGTTTCGGCAGCAACGGCAGGAAAACAGAGGGAGTTGATCAGCAGCAAGAATGGTAAGCAAGATGGCCTCTCCAGATCTAACAAGCACGAAGGCCTCCTAGGTTTTGGCGAGGAGGATAGCTAGCTGGGTTGGAGCTGATTTTTGGGGTGAAACTCGCAAAAACAGCTAAAAATTGAAGAATAGCTAGTGGGTTGGAGATGCTCTTAGATGATTAANGGTTTAATTTCCTGTGTTTGGAGAAGCATCTTAATCTGGTTTAATTTTCTGTTTTTTAGATAGTCCTAAATGAAACAAAATCTTCATCCTCCTGTCAATTCTTAAATGTGGGATACCATTGGGCCTTTAGAGCAACTCCAACCCAGCTTAACAAAATAGCTAGCCAAAATATATTTAAATATTATATTCTCTATTTTAGCTATAGCCACTTTTTCAAATTTGCACTAACCACGCTCTCTATTTTAGTTAACTATTTATCACCCATCCGGTTCAAATAACAAAAATCAATTGATCATAACAATTCAATCATACATTGTATAAATTTAACCATAAATTAATAGCAATGTAATCACCTATTTAACCAAAAAATCAATAGCAATTTAACCATATATTTAACCAAAAATTAATACCTACTTAATCAAAAATCAATATCAATCAATAACAAAAATCAATAGAGATGGGGGTGGGTTTCGGCAGTAGAACATAGGGGAGGGGGAGTTGGGTTTCGGCAGCAATGCAGCAAAACAGAGGGAAGGGGGAGCTGGGTTTCGGCAGCAAAATAGAGGGGAGGGGGGATGGGTTTCGGCAGCAATGGCTGGAAAACAGAGGGAGTTGATCAGCAGCAAGAATGGTAAGCAAGATGGCCTCTCCAGATCTAACAAGCATGAAGGCCTCCTAGGTTTTGGCGAGGAGGATAGCTAGCTGGGTTGGAGCTGATTTTTGGGGTGAAACTCGCCAAAACAGCTAAAAATTGAAGAATAGCTAGTGGGTTGGAGATGCTCTTAGATGATTAAGAGAGTATAAATAGTTGCAATTTTTGGATGGGGAAACTTTTTACAGTTTGTGAATGCATTTCTGGGGATCAGTCTTGACCCAAATGGTCAAGGAATTGCTGTGAGCTAAGGAGCACAAATACGTAAAGAGACAATTAGTCTGTGAATATGTAAAGAAATGACCATTCTGATAGTTTATCTGTCGTATTTATGGGTAATTTATAATGGGAGCACCTATGATTTCTGATAAATGCTAGTGTGCGTTTTTTTCCTTATTCGTTTTTGGTGTGGGGGTGAAAGAAGGGGGGAGGGGGCAAGGAGGTTTGGCTTTTGAATGTTTTCGGGTCAGCGGGGAGAAGAGAGATAGGGTGTTCAAAGGGAGATGAGNTGGCTGGAAAACAGAGGGAGTTGATCAGCAGCAAGAATGGTAAGCAAGATGGCCTCTCCAGATCTAACAAGCATGAAGGCCTCCTAGGTTTTGGCGAGGAGGATAGCTAGCTGGGTTGGAGCTGATTTTTGGGGTGAAACTCGCCAAAACAGCTAAAAATTGAAGAATAGCTAGTGGGTTGGAGATGCTCTTAGATGATTAAGAGAGTATAAATAGTTGCAATTTTTGGATGGGGAAACTTTTTACAGTTTGTGAATGCATTTCTGGGGATCAGTCTTGACCCAAATGGTCAAGGAATTGCTGTGAGCTAAGAAGGAGCACAAATACGTAAAGAGACAATTAGTCTCTGAATATGTAAAGAAATGACCATTCTGATAGTTTATCTGTCGTATTTATGGGTAATTTATAATGGGAGCACCTATGATTTCTGATAAATGCTAGTGTGCGTTTTTTTCCTTATTCGTTTTTGGTGTGGGGGTGAAAGAAGGGGGGAGGGGGCAAGGAGGTTTGGCTTTTGAATGTTTTCGGGTCAGCGGGGAGAAGAGAGATAGGGTGTTCAAAGGGAGATGAGTCCCAGTTGTTGGGTGAGCTGCAGTGGTGCGAGCAAAGTGGAGGAGGGTTTTGTTTGGGGGTTTTTGTTTCAAGTGGAGCACGGTGGTGGTCGGTTTTTTTTTTTTCTGCCATAAAGATAAAATGAGTACTTTTAAAGAAGTGTGAATGATGACTAGATTCCTTTAGTTAACGTTTAGTTTACTAACAGATTGATACCCCATAAAATACAAACCCTAATCAAAAGGGAGTGCAGTTAAAAACTCTTTCCCCTGGGTGCACAAATGGTTCCCATGTCATCATGGCTGCTAGCAGGGCAGGCATTGGTTGGTTCCTGAATGAGTCTGCCTCCAGCGAATGTGCGCCCTCATAAGCTGTAAGGGCGAGCCTTAGGTGATAGGGGAGTATAACTTCAAAAACCATGAGGGTTTCCCTTGCAACTGTCATAAACCATAAGGGTATTATTGTAATATACCCTATAAGCTTTTTCCAAAGAAATTTAGATTTTTCAATCATGATCTGGTGTGTTCTTATTTCTTGTAACATATTATGCCTAAATATGTTTTTGTTGATGTCAGTACCTTATTTTCTGTTGGCTTCACGATCCAATATGTGTATGTCGAGCCATGTGAAGTCAATTTCCATGTCCAATATGATTCCCATCCGTGCCTCATAGATTGCATGCAAAGATGAGGTTTACATTTCCTATCTTCCTATTTTGACATGTGATTGAATTCCTGTGAGGTCCAAGTGGTACTGTTTCTTTTGGCAGGTTTACCTGCAGCGATCTCCTGAACATACCTCTCTAGTTATCTCACCTTTTTTGTTTTCTTTGTCCTTGATCAACAGGTCGACAATGTAACTTCTATCCAAAGAAAGACATTTGGTTTAGCCCTTTCTATAATTTTGACGTTGAGATTGCCTCAAGTACTCGATAAACTTGATCAGATCCTAAGGTATTTGGTCAAACTTTAAATTGGTTGATCATCAGTGGTAGTTCAAACATCATATGAGTTCTGCACTTTCGTAATGCTTGTAACTTTGATTCATGGTAGTGTATGTACAAGTGTAATATTGGGTGCAAGTGAAGACTTAGCCGAGGAAGAGTCCAGGTTGATGTGAAATTAGACTTCTGACTATGTTATTATTATTAATGGTGGTTGTAAAACAAGGAACTGATTATGCGTCTTTTTCTTTTTGGAATTTTCAATTGCTTTATTGAACAACAGTAGCGATAACATAAGCTCTAGCAAGCCTCATGTTCCAAGCAGAGAGTTCAGAAAGAGACAGGTAAGGCTACTTGGGATTTCTGAAGAGAGTTAATGTCTTGAGAAGTACATTAGGACTGATTTTCTCTTTGCTTGCTAGANACATAAGCTCTAGCAAGCCTCATGTTCCAAGCAGAGAGTTCAGAAAGAGACAGGTAAGGCTACTTGGGATTTCTAAAGAGAGTTAATGTCTTGAGAAGTACATTAGGACTGATTTTCTCTTTGCTTGCTAGATCAAAATCTCAGACCCTATAAACCAGGCTTCACTAGAAAATTCCGTGAGGGACAATCTCCAAGCATGTGCTGCACTTCATGGGGACTCTTTCAATGTAGCTATTTGTAAAATGCATCCAGCAGCATTTGCCCAATTAAAGCAAGCATTGAAGATGCCATAGTCCAGATTTGATATTGCAGTCTTCTGGATGGAACAGTGTTCTCGTGTCTGGTGTCCTCCAGTTTTCCTATGATCCCGTAGAAGGAGAAGGAAGGTTTGAGGTAAGTTCCTCTGACATTCATGAGACAAAATTGTTGTTTTTTGTTTGAAGTTTGTTTTTCATATGATGCATATAGCTTCTCTTGCAAGCGATGCAGATTTATATTTTATAGGACATTATTTCTTTTTTGAAGATGATCGTATTCCATCAAGGCTCATGATATCCAATGCATACCAGTTCAGAATAAATAAAATCCAGCTCTAGAAT